AAAAAAGAAAGCCTCTTCCTCCCCTGTGACTTCAATCTGTCAGAACAGGTGGACGCACGCAGGGTGGTCCCTCAGCGGAAGCACAGAATCCAGATGATGACTGGGTGCTGATTTTGCAACTGTGTCATCAGGATGGTGGGAGAGAGTTCGTTCATTACAGGCACCGGATGCCGCAGGGCAGTGGGCCGCAAGCTTAATGGGTGTCAGAGTCACCTGGAGGGCTTATTAAAACAGATTGCTTGCCCCGTCCCAGAGTTTCTGATTCAGTAGCACAGGAAGGAGCCCGACGAGTTGCATTTCCAGCAAGTTCTCAGATGGCGTGGATGGTGTTGGTCCTGGAGCCACATTTTGAGAACCAGTGCGTTCACGATTAGTTTCATTTGTCTCGCAGGCATAGCGGGGCCAGGGGGTGACGATGAGCCCCTTGGAATTCAGTGTGACGTCAAATGTGCATGTGGAAGGGGACCGTGACCCTCCAGCAGCTGTGAGCAACTGTGGAAGCTCCGTGTAGCTCTCTAACAGAGTGGCCACGACTGCCAGGATGTTTGAATTCTGCTTCCTGTCTTATTTACTTCTCTTTGGGGTCAATCTAATCAACGAAGTGCTAGATTTGAGCTGTTTCCAGTTTCTATCATCTTCTAAATTTTGAAGTCATTGGCTTTTAAAGGGAACTGCAGTGGAGAAAAGCTATTTTGTCAGCCCAGAGTTTAAGGGTAAAAGCTTCCTTTGAATTCCAGTTCCAATTAACTGAATTGATGTTGGCATGAGAGGGGAGAGGGTATCGTGTGTCGTGATGGCTTGTGTTGTGGGGAAGATGACAAAGCTATTCCAACACCTCAAGGAGAAAATTGCATCTTATGGGGAATGGAAGGATGGAAGGATGGGTGGAATTCAAAGGCAAAGTTGACCAGGAAAGTGGCATTCGGGCAGGAGCAGCGAAAATAATGACAGGAAGGTGGGAAAAGCAGGAAACAGAGAATGGTTCATTTGAACTGGAGTGTAAGAGATAAAAGCAGCACTGCGGCCAAGTGGAAATGGAAGGGACTTGAATATACGCTAAGACGTCTAAACATTACTCATGAGGACAGCGTTTCTCAAATGGGGAGCCTAGACTTGTTTTCCAGGGATCGCAGTTTCTTTATGAGAAATTATACATTGCACAGTTGAATTTTCATTTTTTTAAGACTCATAAAGATTTAGATGGCCTTCCTCCTATACCGCTTTATTCTGGTGTCCACATTTGTGCTTATAATCATGTTGGTGCCAGGTCGAGACCAGGATGTTACTGAACTCAAGGGGTACGTTTTGCCTGCACGCATCACAGCCAAATGAGACACAAATAGGAGTTTGCAGCAAAAAATGTACAGGTTTACTTAAGGAAATGGCACCAAGCCCGAGACACAGGTGAGCTAGTGCTCAGAGACCTGGCTCCCTGATGGCATGTAGGTTACAGGTTCTATAGGGTAAAATCACAGGACACCGTGGGTTAGGGAGCTGATTGGCTGGAGGGGGAGTAAGGGTAACGAATCACTTCTTCAGGTCTTGGGGACAGTTCTGAGGTCTTTTACATAGGTCTCATGGGAAAGTAGCCAGGGGGTGTTCTGGCCCAGGGCTCAGGACCTGAAACCTAACTTAAGTCAAGATGTTATCTTTAGCCAGAGGTCCTGACCCTGTGACAAGTAGTTAGGTCCAGGCTGCTGTACTCTGCTGCCTCGGGGTTGCTGATTAGGTGGGGAAAGGCAGGTCTCTGAGCAGTATATCTATATTAGCAGTATAGAGAGAAGGGTATGATTTCTAGAGCCAGGGTTTAAAACTAAACTTAATCAAAGTCATAAATACCCTCGGTTTAAGAAGATATCACAACATGTCATATAAACAGTCTTCGCATTCGCTCATATATTTTGAGTTTAAAACAAAGTGAATTCTTGCACTATTTTGCCGTCCCATGCAAACATAGTACATTTGAAAACATAGACTGTATAATTTTCTAGGAATGCAGTTTATCAAACTTGATTCCAGAAAAGAAAGAAAACCTAAGCACATCAATTTTCACAGAGGGGATGAGGAACTTGTCAGATGTACCCCCTCAAAGGAGGTCCAGAGGGCTTCCTAGGGAAAGTCCACCAGCTCTTCGGAGTAATAACTCCAATTCTTTTTAAACTGTTCCAGAACAGCGTAAAAGAAAAAAAATATATAATCTTTAAGTTCTTTCTACAAAGCTCGTATCATGCGATAAAATCTACGAAGACTAGAACCCACACAAAAGAAAAATACAGGCCAATATCACTGACATTTATGCAAAAATCGCAAGTAAAATAATAGCAAACAGAATCAAGCAGCACATTTAAAAAATAATACATCCTGACCAGATGGTCTTTATTCCAGAAATGAAATGATTGTTAAACATTAGGAAATAGTTTAACAGTTTTCACCACATGAATTGATCTAAGCAGGGAAAGATTATTTCCATAGATACTGAAGCTATTTGACACACTCAGCTATTTTTCATTAAGAAAAACACCACTCCATAAAATATGAATAGTTGAATACTTATTTAACCTGATAAAATATTTCTGTCTCAGCCCCACGCTTAATGGGAACCACTAGAGGCCTTTCCACCACATATGACAGGAACATGACAAAAATGACGTTGTTTAACACTGTAACTCATGACCCCAGAGCTCCAGCAGGCTGTCGGTGCTGCTCAGGACACCCCGTGTTTGCCAGTCCGCGTCCTCGCCACAATCCTAGACAACTTCACACCTCCCACTCTTCTCAACAGCCCTCTAACGCCCCTCTTCCCATCTCATTCACAGTTGAGGATTCTGTTTCCTGATTTGCTGAGACTAAAGCAATCGGCCTTTCAGAGACCCCTAAACTGTCCTCCCTTCACCAGAGCGCCCCACATGCTATGCCCTCCTAGCAACGCCCATGCTCTTAACGGAAGCCACGCCCCCTACACTCCACCTCAGCTCACCTTCTCAAGGGCCCGCTCCAACAGTTCTCCCCACCCCCTATGTCCTCAAATCCTTTGCTATTTGGTCATCCCATCACCAAAATGCCACCACTTGTTCTCTTAAAATCTCCACTCTGCTATGCCACCGGCAACCATCCCATTTCTTTGCTCCCATTGCAGCAAAACTCCTTAAAAACAGTTCTATTTGCCCACATGGCTCCACCCAAACTGCTCCTGCTACGATTACCAGTGACCTCCACGTGGCCAGACCCAACCGCCATTTCGGCCTGCCTCTTACCCGACCTATCAGCCAGAGTGTGACACATCTGATCACCCGTTCCGCCTGGGTGTTTTTCTTCACATGGCCTCCAGCACAACACATACTCTTGATGTCCTATTGGCTCAGTAGCTACACCTTCTCATTCTCCATCAATTCCTCTTTCAGAGCTTTTCATGTCAGAATGCCCCAGTTCATCCCTTGGTCCTCTTCCTTCATCCTCTAATCCAGTCTCCTGGCTTTAAATAACACCTAATATGTTGAAGACTTCCAAATCTTTACCTCTAATAAAGACTCCTCTCAATTCCAAATCTGTGTATCTAACGGCCTTCCTCACACTTGTACTTGGATGTCTGTGATCTCAAACCATCACATCGAATACCACAATCACCACCTCTTCGCTCAGCCCTGCCCTACCTGCAGCCTTGCCCCTGGTCCTGGCCTCTCTGGTCTTCTAGTTGTCCAGGACGAAAGACTGGCCGCTGTCCTCATTTCCTCTCACTGGCCGTATCTAATCCGTTAGGAAATCTTCCACCTTCAAAATATAGACGGGCAAAAGTAGAGTGAGGATAAGTGACAACATGAACCAGACAATAAGCACGATGTATGTGAAACTTACGAAGAGACAGATGTCACTGGAACCAAGAGAGCCCCTGTTTGAAATAATAAATAAGGCCCCACAGGAAACAGATTACGATCACATTACCGAGGTGCTAAAACCAGGCAGAAACGGGCTTTAGCGTGGTAAGTTCCTAAGTCACGGCAAGTTCCCCACATTTCCCACCCACTATACCCGGCCCCCACCCACACACACACACACACATACACACTGCTCAAGAAAACAGATGTGACCTGTGTAAGTCCCATAGCTTGGAAGAAAGAGGCAATGAACCTTCAAGAGAACGATTAAAATTTTTATGTGCCAATCTGACCCTTCAAATTCCAAATCAATATTTATACATTTATTGTCATGTCATGTAGTTTTTCCTTTTAGTTCTTTTTTCTCTTCTGGGACCTTTAGAAGTCCCCTCCAGCACGATGCTTCTTACCCACTCCGTCACTGACCATCTCAGTCTCTGGATGCGTTTTTTGCCAGGCTTGATTTTATCACATATTGACTTTGTATTTCTTTTGGCAAATTCCTTGTGGGTGTTTTCATCATCTTCCTAGGTTTCCGGTGTGCTGCATATTATACACCGAAGATATCCATTTGACCTAAGATTTCATCAGGTCAAAAGCTTCTTTAAACGGAAAAACCCCTCACTCTTTAACTACAAAAGTAACTAGAATCATTCTCTGCAACTATTTCCAGTGTAAGAACTAGGCATCCTAAAGCTGTTTTATAATCCTCATTCTGGTACCTTATTAATTTATATAGTGTCAAATGTCAGAGCTTGAAATTTCTTAGGGACGTTATGATCATGATACTTATTACTGATTCCCCAAATTAAAAAGTATAAAGAATGCTATCATTTGAAATATTGTGGTTGAATGAAAACTCAACTCATTTAATCATCTGGAACAGAAATAGTCTCAGAGATATTGAGGAACAACTGATGGTTGCTAGTTGTGGGGGCGGGGATAAGGGAGAAGGGGAAGGGATTAGACAGCATAAATCAGTAACTACAATATTGCCACAGGGATATGAAAGACAGTTCAGGGAATATAATTAATAATGTAAACATTTTGTAGGGTGTCAGATGGTCACGTCTTGTTAGGGAGACCACTTCACGGATGTGGTAGAGTCTTGATCACTGCACTGTACACCTGAAGCTGTTGTATAATACTATATGTCAGCTATAATTGAATATATATATATATATATATATATATATAGTCACGGGACGTGAAGTATAGTGTGGGAGTGGAGTCAAGGGAATTGTAACAGATATGTATGATATGGGGGGGAGTGGGGCAGCAGATTGGGGTAGGGGGGTTGTCACTTTGAGGGGTAAAAAGTATAACTATTGCACTGTTTTGTACACCTGAAACTAATTAAAAATAAAAAAAATAATCTGGAGATAGTACAATATAAACAGAGTAGTTTTCAAGAATTCTTCTGAGGCAGTAATACCATAATGGTTAAGAACCCAAACTTTGGTATCAAAAGACTGGATTTTAAAACCTAATGTGACTTTGGGCAAGTGACTAAGTTTATTTGCAAACCTGTAGACTAGGAGGTGGATGACTATGAAAGGGCAACAATGAGGGATCTTCGTGATGATGGAATTCACTATGTCAGTGGCAATATCCTAGTTATATTTTACTATAATTTTTCAATGTTATCGCTGGAAAAAACTAAGTAAAGGGTATACGAGAGCTCTGTATTTTTTCTTACAACTACATGTGAAATCTACAATTATCTCCAAAAGTTTAAAGAAGTCATTTGCAAACTTTGGCTTAAATTTTATATTAATTTCAAAACAATCCTAGGCAATTACATTATCTTCTCTAATTTTCTGAGTAAAATAAAGTGAGACTCCAAATTGCTTTCAAAATTAGCGATGACGTAACCAGAAGGTGGCGCTATTACCACGACTATACCATAGTAAGGCACTGTTCACTTTAAATGTCAGAATAATGGAATACTAGGATTTTATCCATTAAAATTAAATGCTAACCCCAATTCAGCAATATTTTCAATGTCTTATGTGAGGTTTGGAAAAAAATTCAATTTTCAAAAATCATTTTAAAATGATACAAATTACATACAAATAATTTTGGATCTATGTAACATAGAAGGTTGCTAATAGAAAATATAAACCCTTCTAAGTATATTTTTCACCTAGTCTTATGTGGACTGGCAAACTGTTCCAAAGACTAGGAAGATTCTTACCAAACCTGGTATTAAGCTATGAAATAATTACACTTTTTATACAAGTATTTCCTGCCTCACCGTTGACAGAATTTCGATAAAAGTCTGAGCACCACTTGAGGAAAAATCGGCAACTAGAAGTAAAAAGAAAGCTGAGGAAGGAATGAATCTCTTTTGTGAAAGCAACAAAGTTCAGAACTTTCTCATTTTGGCTTAAAAAAAATTTTTTTAAATACTTTTCAGGAAAAGAAAATTAAGTTGCACCAGTATTTCCAACAGATGTCCTTTATTCAATTCCATTATTATTAGATGCTGGATATGCAGCAGACATGAGCTATTTGTTACTAATAGCAGGTTTGCAAGGAGCCTCTAACACTTGACAGGGAGAGTTTTCAGAGAGAGTGTTTTCAGAGCGCCAGTCAACGCCCAGCTGGGGACCAAAATGCCCTCTGCACTCTGCCCTACTCATGTCATGTCCAGTCTAAGCAATCACCAAGGACTGCAAGCAGCCCAGATGATCCAAACTATGCTCTGAACTTGCCAACATATTTAATTTTGCTTTTGAGAACACGTTTTAAGCAAAATAAGTTTTTTCCAAAAAAAATCATCTTTTCATGTGCAATTTCATATCAAGCTATGTCTTTCAAAGGTTATCAAATAATTAGCCTGTCCTTAAATATATAAATACAAGGCAGTTAAGCAAACACATTCTGTACTAGTTCTATTGTTCACGCAAGAGCTGAACCAAACCAAACAAGAAGGAAGTTAGAATTAATTTTGAGTTTATTCTCAAGTCATTACAGTGTTCAACCAGTTTGACATATAAAGATAACAGACGTAAAAGTAAACATTGGGAAGCACACATATATTCCCATCTGAAAGAAGACATGTTATATGTACAGAAAAAAAATGCAGCAAATATTAAGGTATTCAAAGTAATTTTTTGACATTTCAGATGTGACATATTTACAAGAAAAGTATAAGTTTTAAAATAATTAAATAATTTTCATAGAATTATAAAAGTATTGAGATAAATATTAGGAGACCCCAACAATCACTAGAACATTTTCCTATGCTATTGAATACAAGGGTAGTTCCATAAAAAGTCCCAAAATAGAGCTAGTATTTGGCCACTATGAAATATATCAAATTACCACTTAACAAAATATGCTAAAATAAACATGCAATGTGGAAACTGTACCAAAGAAAACAGCATTCGGCTCCTGAATATCGCAAAGTGTCTACACAAGATCTCTTAAGTGTGTTCATGAAAAAGGAATTTTCAAAAGAGCCATTATAATGGATTAAAAGTGATAACTACTTAAAGCCTTTTCATTCTATTATTTTCAAATGTAGCTGCAAAAAAGGAAAAAAATATCTAACTTTTAAAAATATTAGCTTATGAATAAAAAAGTTGAGTGGTGCATTCTTTATGCATTGGGGTTTTTTTTTAAACAGATGCTATGGCAATTCTAATATAACAGATAGTAACCTCTGGACCCCACCACTGCAATAGGAAATCTCTCTCAGACAAAGAGTCATCTTAGAAAATGAAAAGGAAAAACATGACGTGTGAATTCAAAACTAAACAGTACTATAAAATGGTACAATATAAAAAAAATAGCAGCATGTGAAATTCAAGACTATTTTCTTAAAGCAAATGTTTAAGACTGAACCACAAAAATGGTACTTGCTCAAACCGGTCTATTATTCAACACTTCAAACTCAGGATTTTTTAAGAGAGGCGCTTATACTTTATGATATCCCTGTGATTAAATGTATACTCAAATTTGTTTTTTAAGACATATATATTGCACAGGTAGTAGAATACCAGCATTCTGGTATCTCTAACATAAAATGTTACCTTATTTAACACATTGAACTATACTACTGAAAATTAATTTTATCCAAATGTTTAAAGCCAATCATATATATAGGACTTTTGAACACATTAACTTAACAAGATGAAAAACACAGGCACTTGAATGAATATAGATTGTTAGTGAAAAAAAACTAGAGGCCACAATAGCATGACTACGGGCAGTATGTCTTTACATATAAACTTGAGGTCTTCCACTGATCCAAAGATAGAAATAAGAATTGGTACAAAACTTTGATAAGAAAATCAGATCTCCCAAAAATTTCATACCAATTAATTTTCACTAAATAAAGTAATGACTGCTGCAAGTCCCACTTTAAGTTTTATCAAACAAATGTCCAAGATACAGTTGTTTAAAATCTAATTCCACCCCAGTACAACCACACCCTCACTAACAGTTCAATAATATCCTCTATGCAAAACTTACCAGTCACCTTGAGATCCAGGGCATCCAAGACGGTTATCCTGTCCAAACAGTCCACCCACATTGTAGTAGAAATTCTACAGCACCACAGACATCATGAGTTTAGATATCTTAGTCTGGTTCATATTTCATTCAATAATATTAACCAGTAAGAATGTCTAAATATCGACCATCTAATAGGAAGTCATAGCATTTTAAAAATGACAAAAATAATAAGCATTTTTAATGTTTACAGTTGTTAAACATTTAAATTGTCAGATTCACTACAAAAAAATATCACACACACATTTTCATCACCCAAATGAGAACACACAAAATTTCAGACAGTTGATACTGAGACACTTAGGTTTTTGTCTTTCTTACTTTTAAAAAGAGATTCCACTTAGTTTGGCCACTCCCTAGATTCTTGGTTTACCAGCTTATAAAGAGTACATCTACGAGGCAGTATAATATATGCATTAAAAACCATTTCACCCTTTATCATCTTTGGCTAGAAGCCTCATGAAAGGAAACTGAGGGGCTGATGAGTGGGTCGGGCTCCAGGTGCTTCCATCTTACACATCGCTGACTGGAAGGCTTGCGTCATCCAAGTCCACTGGGTCACAATCCTTTTCCTGAGGGCCATTTTTACTTTGAGGTTTTAGCAGAGCTTGTTCAGTCACTTTGGAAGCTGGTTCTCTTGCAGAGACAGTCTGGACCTTGAAGTTCCCTGGCTTGACCTTGGCAAGAGATTCGTAAAATCCTCGCTTCTCCACGGTAAAGCTTGAGACCAGAGAGTTGCTGCGAGAGGCTGTGGAATGTGCGGCGGCGGCGCCGGCGGGGCGGAAGGCGCATTTGGGTTCTGGACAGTTGGGATGCTCCTGGAAAGACGAGTGGTGGTCAGACACAGTCAATCATAAACGACAAGGTTAGTAACTCAGAGTGAGACTTTATTCTCTGAAAAACAAACAAAACGGAACGAAACACATACACAGAGCAGAAGCAGGAGCCATGCAACAAACATGTGCAAGTTCTCTCCCAAAGCAACACGTTTTTAGGAGTGAGTTTAAAGCAGTGACGGCCAACAACCATTTCCACTAAGAAACCAGTTCTGTCACCAAAGCAGAATTTGGCAGCTCTGATGCCCTGAAGACTCATCAGCTTAAATGGAATACGGTGGTCCAATTGCAAATGAGCTGTGTTTAAAAGGGGGCTACCAGCTTTATAATTTTATTTAAAAGTATATTTTCAATCAACACTAGGAATTATCCTACATATTTTAGAAAGACAAAAAATGAAAATGTAGAATATAAAAATTAAAGGCCATGTTTCTTTAATAAAGAACTCAACATTTTCAAACCTATTCTTTTATCTGGCAATCGGACAAACTTAGTTTTTGCTTCCCTGAATTTCACTGTAACCAATAATAGCATAGTCCTTTTTTTTGCTTTTTATTTAATTGCATTTATTTAGTTTTGAATATGTCATACATTCATATGGCTTAAGATTTTAAAGGTTATATATTTAATCACTTATAACTGCAGTAAAATAATTCTCAGTGGTGAATATTAATTTCAATATGATTCTAATATATCAAATCTGAAGATATCCTTAAATATGACCATTCCAAATGCATCACCATATAGTTCCTAGTATATTGTGTTAATTTATGGTACCAGTGGCTTTGAAAACACAGTGGTACAAGTTATCAACAAGATTACCATTAGATGGCTAAATGTCACTTGAGATTTAAAATGCCATGCAAACCACAGTGATGTGAGTTTATCCAATACATCTCCATGCATGAGTTTGCATGTATTAGAATAAAGGTGCTTTTCAAGTGATGTAGTATTTAAAAAATGTCAAAATATGTAAGATAGAAATTGAAACTCTTGTGGCAATTCAGTAAATTTTTAGAAGACAGCTTAATAGGACTTCAATTAGTAAAGTCGTATTTTTCTCATTATTTATCTTTTTTTGTTCGAAATACATCTCCAACCTGATGACTGTAGTGAAATAGTTTGCGTTAGTGTTGACAAAGTCAGTTACGATAACTGCAGAAGGCAGTTGGGTTAACTCAACTTTCTAGGATGAGTTGTGAGTAGTGAGTAAGTCCGGGCCCTCTGGTAAGAAGGCACGTTTGCGTAAGAGCCCACATACGTGCCGCATTCACCAGCTCTGGAGGTATACCTCTGTATACAAGGGTTCGACAGCCTTCTGGCCTGCCGCATCTGGAACACAGTGCAAAGCTAAGATTAGAGTCCACCTATACTGGGGAGAGGGAGGAAAAGAGAACGTCCTGCTGGCAGTTAGAGCTCGAGTCCAATGTGCCCCCACCACAAAGCGCAAAACACCAAGGCCCTTCTCCGAGTTTCCCTCTTCCCGACAGACACTGTTTTTGCAGAGAGTCTCAGACTTGGTTGCTGAAAAGGTCACACGAAACACAGGCAGTTACCAGGTTAACACCCACAAGAGTAATTTCTGAGATGTTCCAAAAAGGGTATAAGGAGAATAACTTAATTAAGAAATGAGGATGATGGATTTCTATTTACTGATTTGTAGTTATTAACAGCAGGAAACCATTAAAAGACATTATTATTACCAGGAAAATACTGAAAGTGCAGATATCTAGCATTTACAGTGAATTTAGATAATAAAGGTCATTATGTTACATATCAGACTACATTCTGCAAGCGAAGTGCTCCATTTCAAGACCCTTAAAATTTTTCATTCCTTAATGGAATTTGTGTATTTTCACATCAGAGATCAGTGACCAAAGTATTCTAAAGGCAAATCTTATTCCTATGATGTACTCAACATGATAAATTAAAAGTTAAAAACATTTTTCTTACTACTTCTAAGAATGTTTAGCTTGAAACATTTATCGTATTACCACAAAGATAAATTAAGACTATGGGGGGAAAAAGCAACCCTTGAAATTAATGTATTAGAAAATGAGAATGAAACATGAAGTAGAAAATATTGACCGAGAGTACTAAATTGTATTTAAAGTTCATAGCGGTCTTATGGCACTATTAGGCCAAAATAAATAAATAAAATACAAAAATAAAAATAAAACACCCTTACCTGAAATTACAGGAAGTAAAGAGGAAATTGAGTGTTCACTAAAGGTGCCTTACACAATTAGGCAATGTACCATACTAAGAATGGTAAAGTTTTACCAACTCTAGACCTACTGACAATAAGAACTCCTAAAACAAAGCAAGGAAACGGTTTCGTTCATTCTTTAGTTGCCCTGCTTGTGCATTTAAGACAATACAATGCACAGAAAGTTATGTTATCCATAACACTACAAGGAAGCATTAAATTAGAAATGCATTTTTTTTTTTGCAAGTCCAATTGGTATGAAAGTCACCATGCAAATAAATCTCAATACAGAAAGAAACCAGAAGGATTAGGGGAGAGGAAGGAAAATAACTTGACAGGACGGAGGAACCCCAAGGAGAATCACCCCAGAGAACAGGAAACATACAGAAGATGCTGATCGGCCGGGTCCCCGCTGGGCTACGATGGCACCCGACACGGCTTTAATCCAACTGTGCATCTCTTCAGGGCTATCAGCCTAAGGGAAAGCAAGGACTCACTCAGTCAAATTTTCCTCACAATCAGCTCCTGCAGCTACAAATCTAATGTATGCATTTTAGTAACTAATAGCGTCAACATCATTCTAAGACAATGATTTAAAAAAAAAAATTAGAAATCACTTTTTAAAACATTTTTTATTAGATTGATTGGGGGTGACATTGGTTAGTAAAATTACATAGGTTTCAAGTGTCCATTTCTGTACTGCATCGTCTATATACTGCGTGTGTGCTCACCACCCAGTCAGCCCTCCTTCCAGCACCGCGCAGCTGACCCCCTCCCTCTTCCACCACCGCCCCTGCCCTGCACCTTCTGGTGACCACTAAGCTGTTGTCTGTGTCTAGAAATCACTTTTTTCAACCAGGTTTTCTGGTAACTTATTACACAGAGACATAAGTTGAGCACTTAACATTTTAAGATCAGACACATCAAAGAGTGTCAATATGAACACTTCTGGAGAGAAAACAAGAAGATGAGGAAGTAAAAAAAAGACCTCTTTAGCTCTATTTGCTGCTTTATTTGCTACAAGAATATTTATGTAACTGTATAGTTATAAAAATCTTTTGACATCATTTTACAAATAGTTTTTATTTTCTTTTTATTTTTTTAGCTGAGCCATCCTGCTACCTGTTGGCAGCTCAGCGGCAACTCAGCTCGGGCCGGGAATCGAACTGCTATTGCTCAGAGCTCAAACTCTACAAATAGTTTTTAGTGATGCCATAATCCTACAAGAAGTATTGGTAGTCATATTCCTATCACATTCCTTGATAGGACCTTGGCTCTCAATGTGAACTAAAAACCTACGATGACTTTAATCCAATCAAACTAGGCCCTAAAAGGGGTGTAAAGATACTGCCCTTTACTCAAGGTCAAAATTTTTAAAGATACAAGGTATGTTTGAAACAATGTTAACAAACACTTTTTAAAAGTAAAAACTCAAAGTAGGCAAATGTAAAGAATATACTTTCATTCACTACAAATAGGAGCACAAGTCTAGAAATCTATCTTGCAAAACAAAGAGGTTTAAAAAGGTTCATGCTCTAATAGTTATTCTAGACTTAGAAATTCATCCTATACAAGAAATTCAGGCAAATTTACACACAAAAATGTTCACCACCACTTCAGTTCTTATAGTAAATGCACGAAAACTATGTAAATGATCAGTGACAGAGTAGTGGCGAAACAGTTTCACTCTGAACATTCATACAATAGGGTATAGTGAAATTCTAAAAGGTTTTCAGAGAATTTTTAATGATAAGGAAAAAAGTGACCATAATATATTAAACAAGTAGGATATATAACACTATTTCATATGACCCCACTTGTTAAAAAAATATATGCCTTAAGAAAAGTAGTAAAAAAATAAGAATGGTTGCCTGAAAGTGGGGTTCGTGTTTCATAAACCATCCTTTTCTTCATATTTTTCTATATTTTCTAACAATAACTTACAATAAGCATATGTTAAGTTTTATAAAACAAAAACAAATGTTCTTTTAAAAAAAAACTTCCAATCTAAATAATTAACATGGTAAGTAAAAAGAGTATTTTAAATTTAAATACCGAATGCCTAGCTACCATTAATGAAACTGTAAGACCTACTGTCTACTTTTACTATGGGTGTTTGAGCACTAAAAACAGTATGATCAATTCCAAAGCATGTGCAAAAATAATCCAAATTGAAAATACACACTTGACATATAAGTTAAAGTAGCATTTCCTTTCCTTCAAATACTACTGAATTCTATTTGACTAACTCATAGGAAAGAATATCCTTATTTGCTGAACATATGACCTACCAATAACCTTATATATAACATTTTTTAATTAACTTGGCGCATTACAGTTGTTGTTTTTGCTTATTCTCATAAGCAACAAGTTTATTTCACCTCTAAAATAATTAATTTCTTGATAAGAGGATCTGTTATCTCCAAAGTATCTTACCTGCACATAGAAAGTTCTAGATGATGTTACAATTTCAAAGAGGTTGTCTCTCATCATTATGTCACTGTTAACAAAAAAAAATTTCCAATTGTACTTAAATAGCAATTGTTTGATGGTTTTTCTTTCACTTATTTACCCAATACCAAGTATGTATCAATAGGAAAATAAATATCAGAGGTAAAATACTGATTTAACAAAACCAAATTATCATCTTTTTCAATTTATTTTTACATTAAGTTTTACTTATTTTACAGTTACATATATTTTTAGAAAAAGTCCATAAAACAACTTCAAAATTCAAAGTTTTCAATTGTGAAGAAACCAGTTTGCTCAAACACTGCCACAGTTTACACATTTTCTCATAAAACTCTATTCTGCAGCAACCTCGAAATACTAAAATTACTAATACATCAATGTGTTAAATATGATGTTGTTCATAGGAAAGTTTTTCATTTCCACTGTTTCCTAATTTTTAATTTTAAAACAAAAAAATCTCAATATTTTAACCTGAGGGTTTTAAAAGTTCTAGCATATGCCAACTATAAGGAGTTAGAAATACAACTAGAAGTAATACAGAAAAGCACCATCTTTAAGCACTTCTATCGCTGCGGCACTGGTAAGACGTAATATAATAATACACAAGTCGGAGCTGGCACTTACCTCTGCTTACATTCCTGGACCTTATGAACCTCTTTAAGTGGTATTGCACGGAGAGGTTCCTTTTCCTGGTCAAGAAGGAAGAAAAAAAAAAAAAAGGCCAACAAACAGATAATAAGAGGTATATTCTTAAAATCCTTTCAAGGGTTCACTGTCTTATTTGGAGATCTATGTGAAAATTATGCTTCTTTCTTGAAGCACATCTAAGACATCCATCTACCTTCTTGAGAAACCCAGCATCAGAATAGCTCAAATGTACAACCTTATACACCTCATCGTCTGAAACAAGGAAACGCAGATAACCCGTCTGCACATTCTCTGGCCTTAAGGACAGTGTAGCTTACGAAAAGCCATTCGCCATCAGGCTTTCCGTGATGAACCCCCTATGTGCCCAGTAAGTGGAGTACTCCCTCCTTTGGAATGTTATTTTGATAAAGAAGGCAGCAGAGTCCTGAATATCCAGGTTTCTTTAAGCTAAATTGATCGTTTTAAGAATATCACGTTTATATGAATACATTATCTTAACAAACACCATTTCTTGAACATTTACTAAATGCCAGGACACCCCCTAGATTTTGAACGTGTTCTCCCATTTAAGCTTTCCACAACCCGACAATGCATGCACTATTGTTCACCCGAGGAAACAGGGTGAGACATGTTAAGTACCGCACCTAAGGTTACAAACTAGATATAAGACGCAACTAGAAGGCAAAACGAGTTCCTAACAGCATAATATGTATACTATACATTCTATGAACCACTACAGATTGTATCTCACCGAGTATACCATGAGATTAAGACATACCATTATTTTATGTAGCACTGAGAAAAAATCAAACCAGGGCTGACTACTTTTTAAATCACAAATCTTTCTTTAAAGCTTTACAAAATAGTTCATTTTAAAATAATTTCAGGCTGTAAAAGTCTTACAAAAAACAGTACAAAAAATTTCTGTACACCTTGCACCATTTTCCAAGACGTTAATATTTTACATTTGATAAATGATCTGTTTTTGTGTACATGTATGTGAATGTGTGCATATGTATTTTTCCTGAAATGTTTAAAGGCAAATTATAGGCATGATACATACACCTTTACTACTAAATACTTCCGTGTCTACTTCCTAGAACTATATAAGAGAAGGATGTTCTCTTATATAACCACAGTACAATCATGAAAATCAAAAACTCCACATTGATGCAACACAGTTGCATCTCCACACCACATTCAGATTTCATTCGCTGCCCCACCTTTATAGCAAAGGAAAAGCTATGTATTTCCTGATCCGGGGTTCAGTGTGGGCTCATACCTTCTATTTAGATGACATGTCTCTGAGTCTCCTTTAACTGTGGGACAGTTCTTCAGTTGTTCTTGATGTTTAGTTTTAAAACGCCAGGCCAGTTATTTCATAGACTGTCCTTCTTCTGGGTTTGCCTGATGTTCATCGTGCTTGCGTTCAGGTTATACGGTTTGGGCAGGAAACCACAGATGTGAGGCTGTGCTCTCGGCACATCGTTCTCAGGGGCACATGACAGTGGTTTGTCCCATCACTAGCGTGTTACCTCTGATCTCTTAAGGTCATGCTTGGCAGTAACTGTAAACTTAACTCTTTTCCCCTTTGTCATTATTAAGTATCTTGTGGGGAGATGCTTGGAGTCTATGTAATACCCGATTTATCATAATTTTGCCCTCTAGTTTTATCAAACACTGAGGATTCTTGCCTAAAACCATCATTACTATAATGGCTACTAATTGGTGCTTTTTCTAACCTCATCAATTCATCTATATATGTTAGCTGGAATTTTACTCAAGAAAACGCCTTTCCTTCTCCATTTACTTATGCATGACTCACTGTGACTCACTGAACTCTGAGTTATAATCCATGGTTATCATTTATTTTGTTGCTCAGCTTGTCTGAGTTCTAGATGCTGGTGTCTGTGTCCTTTTGGTACGTGCCCATCATTCTCTGAGCCACTCCTTTATTTTCTGTCAGAACTAGATGTTCTAGATGGGCTTGGCTCATGCTTTCCGTGCCCCAGCTCTGAAATCGGCCACTTCTCCAAGGGCCCTTTTGTTACAGAATGGCATTTACAGTTGCTATTTGGGGAGAGGATGTGTCCATCTCTTCACTCAGCCGTGGCTTTCTCGTGATAGATGAGGAGTCATATTTCTGCTAAGTTTTAATTTGTGCTTCTCTAATTACGAGTGATGTTACATATCTTTTTATATGTTTAAGGACCATTTTCTTTGTAAATGAATTGCCTATTTATGTCTTATGCTCATTTTCCTACCAGATATTTTCTCCTTGACTTGCTCTTTTTAAACTTTGAACCAACCACAAACTTAAACAAAGGTCAAGAGCAAAGCACTAACAACTGATCTTCCAGAACCATTTCAGAGTGAGTTGCTGACCTGGCCCCAACGACCCCGAGTATTTCTGAGTGTATTTCTACAAAGACATCCTCTTATGTTATCACAATACAACCATCAAAATCAGAAAGTGCCACCCAAATGTCTTTTATTAAAGCAAAAGAATTCAGTTTAGGATGACCCTCACACTCGTCTTGCAAGCATTTGAGATCTTGCTTCCTGGCAACTGTTTTGAGTTTGACTCAAATAAACTTATAACAATTCAAAAAGAGAATCACACTTGTCTTTCTTTTCTTTCCGTCAGTCACTCTTTCCTTGACGTCTAGTCCTGCCTCTACGGAAGATTACAGGGCAGTTCTGCAGAATGCCCCTCCTGAGGGAGTGCCTGATGCTTCCTCATGATTAGATTCAAGTTATGCACCTTCGGCAGGAAATATCACAGAAGTGACGCTGCCTTCTTCTCAAGCTATCCTGTCAGGTGGTAACCGATTTTCACTCACCTCTTCACTGATGAAGACTGCTTTAATCATTTGATTACCTGATTAAAGTGGTATCTGCCAGGCTTCTTCATTGCACTCCCTCTTTCCCCCGGGGTAATTAATGTGTATTTTGTAGATAGGTACTCTGAAACTATGTCATCTTCTATTCTTCATCATACGTACGTATGTGCATTCATTCATTCGTTCATTCATGTCTGTATGGGCTCATGATTCCTATTTTACTCAATGGACAATAACCTGTTACCATCATTATTTATTTTAATGCTCAAACGGCCCCAAATTTGGCGAGGAGGAAAATTTTCAAATTGGATTTTGGGTCCTTCTAACATGTCTCTATCATTCTGCAAGCACTTCCTTGCTTCCTGACACAAGACAGTCCAGGTTTATTTTTATATTTATTTCTTCTGTCCCATTTCTGAAATCTTGCCATTTCTCCAGGGAGCCTAGGTCTCTTCCAATACAAAACGGTAGTTTTTTCAGTACCCAGAGCTAGGGAGTATATTATCTGCATAGAGATTTATGTAAACACATGAATACATTTATACCTGTTATTTATTTCTACATCGACATGTTTTGAAAGTTCACAGCAATATTTTCAATTCCAATCTAACATAAAAATTGTTCATATTTATTACTCCCTTCTTCAACAGTGAGAAAGCTGGCTTCTATTACTCATAATAAATTTCCCTTTTTATCAGTAAGTATATTGTAACCATTCTCCCATCTCTGCCACCACCCTCTCCCCAAAGCGGATGCCCTCCTCTCTCTACCCCACGCCCCCTCGTCCTGCGTGCGCTCCGTCTGCCCAGCCCTGGCGACTCCAGCTCCTCCTGCTCCGGCCCCACTACTGTGCTCGCCTACGTTGATTCCTCACCTAAAAAATTCAGGTCTAAATTGTTTGGATTGCTGGGAGGAAAAGAGGGAAAGAAGGATGAGGAAAAACCCTCTCCCCTCAATTTTTAAGATTCTTTGTATGTTAAGGATATTAATGTTTTATGTTTGATATATACTGCAAATATTTTCTCCAGTTTTTTAGGTGTGTGCTTAAATCTTTTATACTTACTAAGAAAACTTTTATAGATACATACTAAAATACTTACAGATGGAATATGCTTAGGACTTGCTTCAAAATATGAAGGGGCAAGTGGGTGGTGAGACAGAAGAAATAAAACTAACCGTGTGTTGATCATTATGAAATCTGGGTGATGGATACACAGAAGATCAGGTTACTATTCTACCTACTTGCTTTATATTCAAACTTGTCCATGATCAAAAGGTTTTGTAAAAGAGCCCTTTTATACCTCACACATCAATTTTATCATAAATCATTCGTGAGCATACAGGCAAGTATATAAGCAAAATAAATTGGTTAAGGTTTTTAAAACATTACAAAGTCCAGCTCTGCTGAATCACTTGTTGACGAGGGGCCATCAACATCAATATTTTTCACTCCAGACCGTTCTTCGTGCCAAAAAGAGCACTGAAGATGCAGCATTTCTTAAGAAGGGTTCCCTGTGTCCCTGAGAAGATTCCCTGTGTCCCTGAGGCTTTCTTCCAAACGGCCGGCACCTGTTCTGCAGATGCTGATGCTGGTGTGTTCTGGATCTCACCCAAAGGCACTGCGCACATGCAGCCAGTGACAACTGCAGCGCCGCTGCTGCCTGACTGCCCCTCAACTGTAGTAACTCAGACACCCCAAGATTTCAGAAAAGTTAAAACGTAGGGGAAAATGTGTATCTTAGCAATTGACAAAGGTCAATGATTATAAATATATTTCAAGTTTTCAGTTTTATCTGTTTTCTAACTACTTAACATATCCTAAATACATGTTATATCTTTTTCTCAGATTTTTACAGCATAATTAGTCCATGTGCAGGTTTTCAAAATTTAGTAATATTTCTATAATAGCTCTTGTCTCATTATAATTACTGCAGGTGACAGGGGTCCATGTCAATTTCTCTGGCAAAACTGAACTCCTGAAGGCCAGACGCCACTGGTTTTATTCCCAGACCCCGTAACACTCCTCCAGGGCCATGGAGAGCTCAACAACCGTCTCCTGCATAAATGCCTCTTCTCCAGAAGCATTAACTTAAAAGCAATGAAGCAACCTGCCAGCAAGCACACGTGTGGCCTTCTGAGACACCAAGGCTGGTACTATTTGAACCAAGTGACTAGGACTTCCAGTTGAGACTCTTAGACTAATTTGAAGTCTGGGAAAGGCTCCCATGCTAAAATGGCTATTCCTGCGACGCTATGACATTTCATTCATTCAAACACACTTATCATCTACCAAGTACCAGGAGCTGTGCTCATAAAAGGGCCCAAAAGCAAATCTTTGCTCTCAGGGAGCTCGGGTAGCGAAGAGGTAAAGACAAGCAAGCATCTGATTACAAACACAGTGGGAAGTGTTAGGACAGAAGTGGCACCAGGTCCCACAGCAAGTAAAATGAAGGCATCCAATCCCGGCCCAAAGCTTCCCAGAAGAGACACCTGAATCGTAAAATATTCTCCTCCTCTTCTCTAGCGCTCTGTGGCCCAATATAGTAGCAACTAGCTATGCGTAACTATTTAAATTTAAATTAATGAACATTAAACACAATCAGTTTTAATTTTAAAATTAAATAAAGTCAGGTTCCTCAGTCACACTAGCCAGACTTCCAGGGCTCAGTAGCATATGTAGCCAGCAGCCCTGGCCAGTGCAGACACAGAACCTTTCTATCCGTGTAGAAAGTTCTACTGGATAGTGCTGTTCTGGCACCTTCATTCAAATAAAGTATATGGTTCCCCCCCACCCCACCCCAAATGTCCCAACACACAGAAAGAGGTAGGATAGACGTGTAAAGTATAGAATTGCATTCAATTTATCCAACAATCCATTGCAGAACTCAGATCACGTGCCAAGAATATTTTAAATAAGGATGTTACTCAAACAAATGAAAGAGGGAATTTCAATCTCTGATTCTACCTTCAAATAGGACAAAAACAACTTATATGAAGAAACTTAAAAGTCGATCTGAGAGGAAAAGAAAATGTGAAGAGAGCAGGGAAGAGAAGGCAGAAATACAGAGGGCTGAATGGTGCCTTCTGGAGACCTCCTTTCCACCTCCTCCAGTGCCCCTTTAAGAAAACCTGGAGACTAAGGGGTTCTGTTATTTTTAATTCTTTCAAGATGGAATGCTTTTGAAGATATGATCTATTTAAGATATAGTGAACAAAAATACCATTAACAAAAAGAATCACAACAAAAATAAATTGTATGTACCTCTCCAAACAAGATTTCAATAACTGAAAACAAGAAATTTTATATATAGTTTGTATATATAAAATCACCACAATGTAACACTTTTCGAACATTTTAAAAGCAACATTTATGACACAGAAACATACCAGTTCAGATTTGAAGTAGCCTATTGTGTTTTCATCCAATTGAAAATATCTTCTCTTCCAGTTTTTCATCTACCAGAGATGAACACAGACATAAGACCGCTGTTTCTAAGAATGTCAAATGTTAATAACCATTTAATTATTCTGATATGAACCCACAATCAGAAATGCCAGGCACTGAAAAACCTCACTACCTTCCCTTAGTGAAGAGACAGATACATGAAACTTCATTTCTTTTAACCCTCAGGCCTTGAACTCCTAATTCAACTTTGGTGACTGGCTTTTAGCTTTTGTTACGTGATTTTATAACACGGTTTCATACTTTTAATGCTCTAAAAGTTAAAAAAAAAAAAGCACTTCCCCATCCTCCCCATCCCCCCACCCCCACAAAATAAATGCTCTCAAGAGGTAAAGAGCAAGAACAGGAAATGTCATTAAACCACATTAAGTTTCTCCATCTCTAAAATGTACGAATCCTTCTACAGGTACTTTATACTTAAGTAGTAAAGCAATAAATAATAAAATGAACCTACTTTACACAAATATGTTTTGTCAATGAAATATAGTTTTTGTGAAAGCACTTCAATATCACTAAAGGTTGATATTTTGGTTTTAAGAGTCAAACAAAAAGAAGGGAACGTCTCCTTAAAAGCCCTAACACACAAGCGAATGACAGCCTGGTGAGAACTCTGACTTGACCTGTAGACATGGTGCAGTGACAAACCTGCAGCCCTGCCCTGTTTCCCTCAACCTCAAGGTCCAACAATTAGGGCTGAAAGAACTTGCCCTTGGCTGAGCTAAGCTGACCAGAAGTGATGTGAAGTCAAACAAAACCACCAGTAGAGTTTTAGTATTTTCTTCACTCATAATTTTTTCAGACTTTAATGTTCATTTTCTTACGAAATTCTAAAGATTTAGCTCACATAGAAAGAATAGCTTCTATTTTAGAAAGGTACTTTGGAACCTTAGAAATCCTAGTAAGCTTACCCGCTTTTCCTCCAGTTCTGCATCATGAACCTGGTTGATGATGTGAACATCTAGGCTACCCCGTAGCTCTCTACAAAAGGATCAGGTGCTAAGAGCTCTCTTATTTACACTTCTCAAAAAACCCTCTGGATGGTGGGTTCTATATGATTTTCCTTCAACGGAAACTGAGAGCCTGAGAAGTTAAGGAAGTAGCCCAAGGTCCCAGAGCTTCCGCTGAGGTCAGCCCAACACCAAATGTGTTAGCTGGACTTCCCACTCCAGTCCCCAGCCCCTCTTCCCTGTCATCTCCCGGCAGGGGCTCTCTTTCCCTGACCTATTGGGGGGCAGGGGGGGGGAGTTAATAGAAAAAGTTTCTGGAATAAATTAAACTGTTAGAAAAGCTTGTTTAAAAGTGAAGGTCAGGGGTAATAAGCATTAATTTACCCAGCTGCTCACAGACCAAGAAAAGAAGAGCCTTGAGTTATGAACATAGAATAACCCTTATTTCATCTCCCAACTCAACATGCTGGTCTCCCACTTTGGGTCTTTCACAAAACAAACAATTTGTATGTTGAGAACTTGCAGATACACACTCAGTTTTCACTGTTGCACATATTTTGTTCAGCTACTCACCACTGCTCCTTGTTTTACACAATATCCAGCTTTGATAACTGCACTATCTGATGGTGGTTTAGGAGTAAAGTAAGGAAGATGGCTTTGTGAGCGTTTCAAATTATTTCTGTCAATACTTTCACCACATTCATTTACTTCTTCTTTCTAAAATGAAGCAAAATAAAGAGATTCTGTTCTTGTTTGGCTTAAAGCATACTTGTACTTCATGTTGTTATCTAGTATAAAATCTTGAACTCTTAGTTCAGTTAGGAACACAGATTTGGAAGTGCAAAGCTTTCTAATTAATTTGTTACTTAATCTAAGTATCTTTCACATGCTAATTAAACCACAGATTTCCATTTCTCTTGTTCTGCAAAAGTTCTGCCGCCAGTGCTTTTCGTGTGTGGGGGAGGTGGGGGCGGGGGTTGCTTTTAATTTGAAATAATTATATAGATTCACAAGAAGTTATTTTAAAAATGCACGGAGGGTTCTACATACACTTCAACTGGTTCCCCAAACAGGCAAGCTGTGTTTAAGTACAATACACTACCAAAACTGACACTGAAACACTCCACAAACCATATTTGGGTTCCACAGGTTACATGCACTCACTTGTCTCTGTGTGTATGTGTCGTTCTGTGCAATTTTGTCACATGCAGATTTGTGTAACCACCACCGTACAGAAGGCTACCCGTTTGGGGCCCCTATCCCCAATCCCATGGCAGCCACTAATCTGTTGTCCATCTTTACTATTCTGACACTTAGAGAATATAAGTGGAACCATAAGGTAGGAGACCTGAAATTGGCTTTTTTTACTCGGTGTAATTCTCTGGAGAGATTCATCCAGGGTGTTCCCTGTATCAAATGTTCCTTCCTTCTTACTGCTGGGTGGTTTGCATGTGTCAGTTGTTTGACCATTCACTCATTAAAAAGCATCCGAGTTGTTCCCAGCTTTGGGCTATTAGAAATCCCGCTGCTATGAACTTTCATGGACGGGTCTTGTGTAATCACAAGTCTTCATTTCTCTAAAATAAATGCCTAGGAGTGTAAATGCTGGGTCATATATTAATTGCAAGTTTATTTTTATAAAGATCTGCCAAACCCTTTTCCAAAGTGGCTGACTATTTTACATTTCCACCAGCAGTGCAGGTGTGGCAGTTTCTCCTCGACCCTGTCAGCATTTCTGTCATCGCTGACTTTTGGTTGAGTCATCTCCTAGGTGTGCAGTGCTATCTCACTGTGGTCTTCATTTGCATTTCCCTACTGGCTAATGACAGTAAACATCCTTTCTAGTGTTTATTTGCCATTTGTGTATCTTTTATCTTTCAGTGGAATCTCTGTATGTGAATTTTGCCTATTTTCTAATTGGATCCTTTGTTTTACTGTGGAGTTCTTTATATACTCTAGATATAAGTGCTTTGTTGGATATGTGGTTTACAAATATTTTCTCCCAGTGTAGAGCTTTTCTTTTCATCCACTTAACAGGGTCTTACACAGAGCAAACATTTTTAATTTTGATGAGGTCAAATTTATCCATTTTTTTCCTTTTATGGATTGTGGTTTTCATGTGAAGTCTAAAGATACTTTGCCTGGTACTAGATTTTGAAGGTTTTCTCCTTTGCTCTTTTCTAAAAGTGCTGTAGTTTTATTTTTATTGTTTTACATGTAAGTCCAGTGCTTTTAAAAAAACTAAGTATACTCAAGTTTTCATGTTCCCCAAAGAATTAGCTTCCTGTTTATTTATTAATATACAACACATGATAATTTAGACTACACATATCAACCAAAGGTATATTTTCAAGAATGCTTAAATTTCAAGAAAAAAACTAAGTACTCGAATAATAACTGGAGGAATTTTCAACCTATCCTATATTTAAATAAGTCAACAGCGCTAATTATATACTTAACTTTATAATCCCAGCACTTAACTCAATGTTAACCCAGTAGTTACTGAATAAATTAATCATGCAAATGAGATTTGACATTTTCTTGATAATATATCATCTAAATGCTTTTATAATGAGTAAATACTACTTCATAATTAAATGAACTATATTACAAAATGATAAAGCAATAAAATTCTTTGGGATCATTTTTAATATAGTAACTGCAATAGAATCTTAGAACCTACTAAATAATGTATACCAAAATTAAAATACAACAAAATCTTAATTCTATACAAAATTAAAACAACCAGCAACAACTAACTATAATATCTTAATACAACTATAAACAAATTGTCTTATCCCTTATGTCCTACACAAGACATAATACAGGAGAGAGCAGTTTAGTCTAGCTATATTTTAACAAGAAGTCTTACAGATTAAAATCATTACTTTTGAAAAAGTAAACACACAAACATACACACAAAATCCTAGATTATTTTTTATTGAACTATGATGAACAATGTAACCTCCCACAAGACCATAGATTTTTTTTGCTCATTAATATATCCTTTGCCTAGCATAAAGAAAGCACTCAATAATAATTTTTCCCCCCTCACCTAGAATCGTGGTGAGGACTGAATGGGAGTGCACGGGGTTCCCAGACTCAGGATTAGGGTGTGAGCCCCACCAATTAGTTAATGTAGTGAGAATTCTCTTTCTGCTAATCACTCTCCCTTGACAAAAGACCTAAAAATTATGGTGGATAACATGCTTGGATTTTAAAGGTTTGTAAAGTGCCAATGTCTTCTAAATTCAAAAAGGCACAGGTAATGAAAACGCCCAACGCTGGCAATACCAATTAATCACTTGACAATTCTTGTTTTCTCACTGTAGTAATTTAATTTACGTTACAAACTCATTCACTCAACGACACAAGAAATTTAAGCTCATACAAAAGTTTTAATTTCATCACAAATTTGTTTGTAAATTTGTATTTTTCATAATACCCACATAAAATTTAATATAGCATATCAGTATTTTGGGGCTAGAATTGAGTCAAAATTCCAGTCCTTTGTTTGGCTCATGTAGGCCAGGTTGTTGAAAAACAGGTTTAAAAAATTATACATATTCGCAAACACTTTTTATTTTTGGCAACTTTATGTCTAGGAATTTATCCTTTAGAGAATATTATCTATGTCTCTAAAATTCATGCTACAAGAATATTCACCATAGCATTTATGATAATAGAATATATATATATCATGGTCTCTGCCCCAGGTTTCTATTTCTAGCACAGAACTCCTAAACCCCTTGTAATTTCCTCAGTGCTAAGAGCACTAGGAGCATCTTTTGTTCTGTAATAGTATTTGGTGTTTGATCTCAGTTCCTGACGGAGTTCCTAAATCCCCTGGAATTTCCTGGGTGACTGCAAGTGTCTTTTGTTCTAATCAGGTGACTGCTGGTGGGCTCCTGGATGGGGGCTGGTCACCAGAAAGGCTAAGCCATAATTGGAAGTGTGGAATTTTCAGCCCATTTCCCATTCTGCAGAGAGGGGAGAGGGGCTGGAAATGAACATGGGTTTGGAGAGCTTAGGGGTTGGTGAACTTGTGGAGGTGCTGGGAGAGTGGTGTGCCCAGAAAGGGCACGGAAGCTCCATGTCCCTCCCCACATACCTTGCCCTATGCATCAATTCCATCTGAATCCTTTATCATATCCTTGTATAACAAACCAGCAAACAGTAAGGAAACAGTTTTTCCAGAGTTCCGTAAGCCGCTTTAGATAATTAACTGAACCCCAGGAGTCGGAAGCACAGGTGACAACAACCTAGACTTGTGATTGCCATCTGAAGGGCAGGGGTGGGGTGGAGGCAACCTTGTGGGACTGAGCCCTTGACCTGGGGGGTCCAGGAAGATAGGTCAGAATTGAGTTAAATAGTAGGATACCCAGCTGGTACCACAGAATTGCTTAGTGGGGGGCGGGGGGAGGACCTACACATGTGGTGTTAGAAGTGTTGAGTGTGACAGTGGTGAGAGAGTAGAGAAGAAACACAGGAGGAAGAGTGGGTTTTTCCTACTCACATTGTCTATTTTCAAAAAAGAAAATGAAAGGAAAAACAACTCTGTCCAACAACAGTGAATTTGTAAATTATGTAAATTCGTGGCAAAACTACTACAAAGTCATTAAAAACGAAGAACAATTTCTGATGACTTCAAAAATGATTGAGATGTAAGTAAAAAAAGCTGTTCTCAAGTACAGCTGACCCTTGCACAACGTGGAGGTTAGGACACCCCAAAACTTAGTTGTCCCTCAGTATCTGCAGGGGATTGGTTCCAGGACCCCCTGCAGACACCTAAATCCATGGATGCTCAAGTCCCCGACGCAAAATGGTGGAGATGAACTCAGGCAACCAGCCCTCAGGCATCAGGACTCCCAACCATGGGTGAGAAACAGTACAGGTGTTCACTGAAAAAATCTGCATATAAATGGACTTGTGCAGTTCAAACTGTGTTGTTCAAGGTTCAGCTGTATCTCTTTTCCGGGGGCAAAAGTACACAGAAAAAAGGCTCAGTGAAAACATGAAAAGTGTTAAGTGTTGTTTATCTGTGATTTCCAAATTTTTTTATAATAAACACTTTTGAAATAAGAAACAAACGTTAAGTTTTTTGTACTGACTATTAATTCGGTGAAGACATGCTGTTTTAGTTTGGCTAAGAGTACAGAAACCAATATACAGTAATTACATCATCACACAACAGAAGAATAACTCATTACCTGAGTCGGGGTAATGATGGGGACACCGCCAACGATGTCAGTTCTGTAAGACACTTGCTTCTTCCCACATTCTCCCTGGCGACTCAGGTTATCAGAATGAGGCTGTGAGTCTGACTGCTTTGGTACCTAAAATAGTAAGTCAAATGCATGGTTTTGCAACCAGCATTACATATGATACCCTTTTATCCCAGAATTTCCAACTAATAGTCTATTTATATGTAACTAACAATTTAAAAATTATTGATAGTGTATGTGTATGTACCCCTTTAAGTTCCCATACTAATGTTTCTGCTACAGTAATACTTCATAATACAGCCATCATTTACAGAGTGCTTACTAGGGCAGGTGCTATTTCATACATTTCTCATAGAACCCTCCCATCCAACCCTATGCATTTTATGGGCAGTATTTCCATAGCAGTGGTAAGAAAACAGAGACTCAGGTGTTAGGGAACATAGGTTTAGATCCTGGCTGTACTATGTTCTAGCTAAGTTTGTGTAACTCTCTTCCACACTCAACCACTATATTACATCCCTGGTTATCAGAGCACTACCATTGTCCTGTAGCTCTGTGCTGTTATCTTTCCCTTCCCTCCTTTCTTACCCAAGGTCCTGCACTGTCCCTGAGGATGGGGACCATAGCACAGTCATTAGTACTGGCTTCAGAACACAGTCTATTACTGAACACATACTGAGTAGTCAATAAATGTTGAAAGACTGACTCAATGGGTGAATCCAAAATCAGCAGGAAAACAGAATAAAATCTTTAACATAAATTAAAAGTCAAAATGTTCAAATAACTTAAAACTTATTAGGGATTTAAAAAGGGAATTCCAATACTTGCATCAGTAATAAATCACTCAAAAGTATAAACAATGACTGTGACAGCAGTAAAATTTCACATATTTACACCTCACTGAAGTACAATCAAAAGCATTGCAAATGTTTAACATACATTTTAGTTTTGCTTATGTGGCTTACTCAGGGAATAAATTACTATTTCTGTCAATAGACTATTTCAATACAGTCTGTATTTGAATTATAAATTTTTCAGGCTTTGAATAAAACGTTAATAAAATAAAATAGGCTCAGCACCAATTATGATGCTGAACAATTTAATCTCTCTCCAATGATTTAAAGGGCATTTGAGGATCTTGCATTCTTTCAGAAACATTATGACAAATATTGCCAATAAGCACAGGAGTAGTGGTGTAAAAACATTTAATTTAAAATTAAATAACTTGTCTGTCATACAGTTAATCCCTGTTACCAGGGTCCTGGCAGCTACAGGGACACCATTCAAACTGCATTCAAAGACCCAGACCATTTATGAATGATTCCAAAGCAGCACGGTTTCTCGAGCTTTAGTGTGTGTGAAGTATCACCCAAAAACATTAGTAAAAACTTCAGGTCCCCAGGCTCCACACTTAGAAATTCTGATTCGATAAATCGACAGTGCAGCCCACAAAACGGCACTTGCAGCAGGAACACCAGGTATTTCTGTGGTAGGTGTTTCATAAACCACACTCTGAGAAACGCTGCTCCAAAGCCTGTGCACTATTATGAGGCTACTCCCAACGGGTTTGTGGAAAAGCAGGTATAAAACAGCACTGACAGACCAGACTTTACAAAGAGAGCTCTTTGCAAACTATTGGGCCACCCTGGTCTACGTGTGTACGCGAGGACACTGAGCTGTAGCAGATCCCAATCCACAGAAATATAATTGACGGGCATAAAGAACTTGCCTCTTGGGTGACTTCTGGAACTCACTCTCCTCTCCTTTCCGAGCCCGTGTCCCTTGAGATGCTTCTCTTCCAGGCTTTCCTCCGAGGCCTCCAGCCCAACCCTCCCCCCTCATCCGTATTTACAGGACAGTGCCAGTCACTGGCAGAAACAAGCGAGAGCAAGAAATAGGAAAGAAAGGGAAAAGAAATGCATCCTGATGGGGGATGCCTCCTGAATTCTCTAAGAGTTGTTTTCCTAAGAGTTTGCACGTTTTGGAGTGCTTGTTAAAGGCAGTAGGACAATGGACAAATTTTACTTGACAAGATTCGCATAAATACATTAAGAGTGAACGGGCTGCAAAGGACACAACACCCACAAACAATTCACTAAGGAAGCCCATGGTGTTTTCTAATGAACAGCATCATGTATTTAAATTATCTGGATAGAGAAAACATGGCCAAGCTATCCCAATAAAGACAGAAAGTAGCATTAAGAAAATGGGAAACCAGAGAGAAAATTACCTATTGGACTGTATTAGCTGAAACAAGCCCTAAAAGGTGAGCCATGTGAAAAGTAGTTATTCCCTTTTTCAAGAAATTGAGTTTAGTCATACATGAGAATTTCCTAAGAAAAAACTTTAATATCACCCTAAAATATATAATGAAATTTATATTGGTTTTTCCATTTTCCTTCTAGTTACTATTAAAAATCTTTGCCTGTGCTGTTAAGTCCAATACGACTCATTTGTCCTCATAATAAAATGCTAAGTATAGCATAATTCCAATGTTAGGGCTCAAGAATTAACTCAGAATTGCATTTTATAATAAAAATAGCTAAATTATAATCACCTTATACAAGCAAAATACCCATGAATGCAATAACTTTCTTTAAAATTCTGAATGAAAATTAGTCTAAATTCAGCCAATAAAAAACATATTTTCGAGGGCCAGCCGAGTGGCTCAGTTGGTTAAGAGCTCGCTCAAGAGTGCGAGCTCTAAGTAACAGTGTCACCAGTTCAATTCCCGGCCCAAGCTGAGCTGCCACTGAGCTGCCAACAGGTGGCAGGATGGCTCAGCTAAAACAAAAAACAAAACAAAAACCTATTTTCAGGACCCCCTCTGCCCGCAAAAAGCCAGCCCACCATTCAATGAGAATCAGAAAAGTGCCTCACCAGACAGACAGCAAGTGTCAAAGACACTGCACAGGCTCGGTGTCACTGCCTACTGCCTTCTCCCTCTCCCTTGCTTTCTATCTTTATTGTGACTGCTTTTTATAAGAGATTTGAATGTTTTTTTAGCAGGCATTTACATGTGATCCTAATAACAGGAAATTCTAATAGTAATTAAAGAAAAGGAAAAAAAATGACTAGAGAATGGAGGAATAAACAAAATGAAGACTCACGACAGAGCTTGAGGATTGAAACTAAAATGTTCTAACACCAACTCCCGGGTATTCAGATCTTCCTGAGAGCCCGCCTCTCACCTGCCGTATGAAGTGTAAGTAAGGCCATGTGCTTTGGGGCACATATACTAGCTTGTGAGGACCAGAGGCCTGTGCTCAGCCTCCTCTACTTGCTACCAGTTGCCAATTATAAAAAAGTGTGGCTTCAGGGCCGGCCGAGTGGCGCGATGGTTAAGAGCTGGCTTGGGACGCCAGAGGACCCCGGTTCGGATCCCACATCTGAGGGCCAGTGACACTGCCCTCCACAGCTAAGATGCTGAACAACAGCTCGACCTGGAGCTGGGCTGCCCTGAGTTGCCGGCGACGGCGTAGGCTGCAGCCTCTGTGGCAGTGGGTTGCCATGGGCTACCATGTGTGGCCAGCAGCCAGCGTGAGCGGCCAGCAGCCGCAGTGAGCGGCCATCCAGAAGCCGGCGACTGATCTGCCTCACCCGGGAAGAGCGCAATGATGGTGCCAACTTGGGCCAGTGAAGCAACGTCCTCCACAACTAGACTGAAGAACAAAACGACAGCAACTTGTCTGTTCCCCTTCCCCCAATTCCCCAGCTCTGTTCCCATCCCCCAATTCCCCAATAAAAAATCTTAAAAAAAAAAAAAAAGTGTGGAATTTTGCCACAATTTCCAACGTTAACTTTAGACTAAAATCTGATCTTCATTTTTAAATTAAAATCTTTGGTGGAAAAAGACACTATTTTTAAAAAGAGTGGGTTCTTTCTAGGAATACACCATATGCACCTTGGACATTTGTTAATAATAACGGACCAGAGACCACTCTATCTATATTGTTATTAATATAAATGAATAGCTGAAAGCAAACTTTAAAATTGGATTTTTCAAACTTTAGTCACTGATACTGCAGGATTGGTTCCTCTACTACTGCTCCTTCTTTTTTCTTTTCTTTTTAAATAAGTAGAAAAAAAATTTTTTAAGGCAGGCCATCAACACACATTCACAGACTTCTGGTGCTGGAGGCGAGTCCATTCAGATGGCAGGGACTGTAACCAGGAAGCACACAGAGCCGAAATGATCACCAGTGACTGCCTCTAACCACCCGCCCCTATTCTGAAACTACATACTTTCAAATCTCATTTTGGATTTCCAACAATTTTAAGTTTATAATGTCACAGTGTCCTCTTCAGGCCAATAAATTACATAGTTGACCAAATCATCATTTGGAATGATTCCACAGAAAGGTAAACTGCACATATATTCAAATGTAACATAAAAAATTGTCTAACAATTTTTCAGAGAAATCTCCATGCAAATCATCAGCAATTTCCATAGGGAAGTATAACAAATTAGAGATGCCACACCCTAATAACATGTACATGTATAAAATGCAAATGAAACTAAGACTGCTAAAATTATTTAAGGGCTTAAATGAAAACATGGGAAATTCTGTCATTGCTGGCCTCTGGGTTAAATGTGTATTTCTATAAAGTTGACTTTTAGTAAGTGCTGTCCATTCTATCTTCACTTTACTCTAGTTATCACTTTTTTGATATGCTAAGGCTTTCTATATCTTGTATGTATTTATATTTTCTAAATTTGAATTACAAAAATATCAATACCAACAGATTTACCTTGAAAAATTTAAAAAATTCAACATGTAAAACAAAGCAGTAAGGCCATAAAAGCAATCTGAAAGTGTGCATACTTTTGGAGCATTACCCAATCCCTGATCAGTTTCTCTTGCATCAAATAAGCTAAACAGTGTCATTTATAGAAGATGGTTTTTATACCATTAACTCAAATAATGTAAAGCCTGAGACCAGTCACTACTTTTTCTCTTAAAGCACTAAGAAACTAGTGCTGCTTATTATTGCAAATTGTAAAAAATGAATTAATTCATAAAGTTACTAGATATTGTCTTTCTAAAGAAATTTTCCAAATAGGGAACATTTATTACAAGAGTTAAAAACAACCAGTTAAAACCTTTTAAGAATATGTACTTCTGAATCTGTTCAAAAAATTGCTTTCCTGAAACTGCACAAACCTAAAATAGCTTCTGCTTCGTGTACAGATCAGATGCAGAGCGTGGGTGTCTTCTGTCATGTGGTAACAAGATGTCCTGGTGCAAGACCAAAAATTCTACTTAGTGCTGAGAACAGCTTCAGTTATGTTAACTCTTTACTGTGTTGTGATGTAAATATGGAATCATTTATTTTAGACAGACCCTAACGAGTGACTAACATATGCTGACTTTTAGGACATATGTGTTTTGAAAATAAGCTGCTTGGGGTCAGTAAAATAACTGCACTTCAGTGAAAACACACTTCAATTTACACAAAGCTCACACAGGAATTCCTTCCTGAGCCTTTCCACGTGGGCCTACTATGTGCTTCTCTACCGGCATGTCAGGAGGAAAGCGAGAAGTATAATCTGGGAACAGAACCTGTGCTTGCTTATCATCATCAGTCGTAGGCTCTCTCAGGAAGGTGTGTTCTTTGCTTTAGGGACAGAGAGTAAGGAAAGGGCTCTTTTTTCAGGAAGCAGTGAGGCACGTGCTCCAGAGTTAGGCTCGAGTCAGCTCCACTGCTTACCAGCTATGACACCTGTGAGAGAGGTATTCCTCCCTCCTCAGCCTCACTTTCCAGATAGCTTAGGTTAACACCTCAGTGTAAGGCCTGTAACGCTGGAAATAATCAATACATATTCATGTTTATCAGAAAACCAAAGAGAAGGCCAGTTGGAAGCAGGAAGCTGTAGCACAGAAAAGGAGTGTGAGAGTAGCAAGCTCTGGAACCAAGGGGAAAAAGTGGGTGCGGCTACAAGTTTAGAGCCTGAGACAAATGCCCACAGGCTATGTGGGCAGGAACCTCAGCTGCCAGTTCTTCAGATCAGTCCCTAACCCTGCACCTCATTTCTAAGCCCTTCACCTGTCCTGCTCCTATCCTCAACTCCTACCCTCCCTGTCTAACACCAGCCTGTCATGGCTTACAAGATAGGAATGCCTACTCCTGTACCTGAGTAGGTGGCAGGAAGCCTCTTTAGTCTACTCTGGGGGGGG